AGGTCACGCCACATCGAAACGTAACCGTCTTGCTGATTCACTAACCAAGAAAGCAGTCAACCAAATACTTTTTGGACCTGGCCCTTCTATTGGCCTGACAAAATCGGTAGTGACAGACCTAATCAAAGAACATTCCCTTGTGAAATTCAAAGAAAGATAGGATGAAACAAGAAACTGCAGATTTGCCAGGGAGCTCTTAAGTTATCCTGACAACACTGCAGCAAACAATACTTGACTATGACTAGACAGAATCTGCGCCTAGTCACAGGCATTCTGACTGGTCATTACCAAGTACGAAAGCATCTTCATATCATGGGGCTGTCAGAATCCGCACGCTGCAGAGGGTGCGAACAAGAAGATGTGACCATCGAGCATATCCTTTACGATTGCTCGACGCTCTCATTTATTAGAAGATTTTTGTTCGGTGAGTATCGGCTAACACCGACCGATATAAAAGAAAAATCAAGCTCTATAAGGAGACGAAGCCTATTGATTTTGAAAAAATCTGAATAAAAATGTGGGGTTGAGGGGGGTTGAAAAAAAATATAAATTAAAAACCAAAAACGATATCAACAAAAAATTTTTAGAAAAAATCAAGCTCTATAAGGAGACAAAGCCTATTGACTCAGAAACAAGAAACTGTATCAAATTGAAATCTTCAGAAATCTTTATAAAGGGAAGAAGCCTAACCCTATTGATTTTAAAAAAAAATCTGGAAAAGTATAATATAGAATGCCAAGGAAACATCTGACAACTGCATCAAAATTTGGTAAATTTTTCTAAAAATGAGGGGAGGCTACCTATTATTAATTTCAGGGAAGTTTTCACCGTTGTGTTAAACGAAGATTAAACTACAAAGGGAAGATTAAAATGACATTGTTAGTGTAAAAATGTCATTTTAAACTTCTCTTGGTAATTTAAACTTCGCTTAACACAACAATGGAATCTGATATCACAAATTGTTATTTAATATTATGTTTGTAATAAATGTTTTGGTGAATAAAATATATATTTCAAATATATTATTTTTATGTAAATATTCTTTATACTTATATTTTTTAGAGCAATGAATGCCAAAGAACGTAAATAAATAATAAAAGATATATAAATGAATCTTGATTACGCTTGACAAACTTCTTCTTTATTCTTCTGTTTCTTATTCAGCCTCCAACTGTCAAGTTAATCAGCCATTGTGTAGTTTAAAATTAATTCGTTCCATCTTTATTATTATTTTATCTAAGTATGGTCAATTTGGAATTAATAACATCTTAAGGAACTCCTTCTGCAAAAAGTGGAGCAGCTGGTTCCTACAGTTATGCGATATTTTATTTTCAAAATTATAAATTTTGAATTTCTGCTTATTTTTGAGAATGTTTTCATTAAATAGAAAAATTAACTGCAAAATCCTTGTCTGAGAAACTTTATTTAATTTCAATGAATTTGAAAAAGTTAGTGATTTTTTAAATAGGACTATCAAATCCAAGCTATTACGACACGGCAGACCGATTTGTCAATAAATATAATATGCAGATTCTACGTGTACGACGGAAATTGTGAAAATTAATAACCAAATTTGTATCACTATAATTATTTTCAATGCCAAAGTACCATAAATAAATGCGATGAATTTACCATTTCCATTAAAGGCCAAAATTCATTATAGCATAACGGTATGAAAATTAGCTGTATCATTTTGATGGTTATCATCAGCCAACTTTAACAGCCTTACCCTTTATTGTTATAGTTTTCAATAAAACGAATATATCAGTGTCCATATAATTATAATTTTATTGTAATATATATGTATAGATGGTGGCACAAATCAAAACAATCCTGCTTTTCGCGAAAGATCTAGAGAAGGAAAGATCTACGGATACAAGATGTATATTTGTACAAATAATAGTATATGAAAATATGATATGTCCAAAAATTGATTTTCCTGTAAAGTTATCAAAAAATATGTTGAATATAATAAAAAATTGTTTAGAACATGAATTACACTGTCTTCACAGGAGCAAGGCTGATGTTTTCGTAGCTCTCTTGTATGTGAAAATTCCATATCTGAGACACATGAGCGCGAGCGACGTTTCCCGATCTGAATGCCCGAATACGACAACTTTTAGCCCTGTCAGCTAGCAACATCAACCAACGGAAAATATATTGAAAGCCAGGAACGGAAGCTAGATTATGATTGAAACGAGTAAAACAGAAGGAGCCATATGAAAGTTATAAATAGACTATGGAAAATAATATAATACTTTTTTTATTAAAAATAGTATGGGTATGAAAATTGTGAATTTAATATATCGTAAATCGCAAATCGAAATCCGAAAAGTCAGGAATATCTCAATATCTGAAATAAGTGTTAAAATAATTTGAAAATTCGTAAAGGTGAAAACAAATACTTGGAGATTTAATAAAAAACCTGTCGTCGTCGGGATTCGAACCCAAACATCTTTGTTCACCAGACAAATGCCCTTACCGCTAGACCATGACCACATTGACTGTCGAGATTCCTACACGGTAGTTTGATGTACTAATTCGGGCCAAACGCCGTTTCAGGCTCGTTCTCATATCTTCAAATATGTCTATACATCAAGATTTGTTTTAACCTTAAGGGTTCGGGGATGGTCTTATTAATTCGTAGGGGGATTTTTGAGTTATGTTTCCAAATTTTCAAATTATTATAGTATGGGTAGATAAAACAATTAATTTTCATTTTATATTTATATAAATTGGTTTTCCATTGTACTAAGGACCTGTAGTCCTACAGCCTTACAGACACTGAAAATAATTTTCTTTTAGAATCTAAATATGCCTTGCCCTCTGTACTCCCACATGATCCGACTATGCCTAAAATCTATCCACTTCACCGAATGATAAATTAAACCTTTTTTGCATTATTTGGCATTTTGCTAGAATATCAACATATTGATTCTGTTTTTCAATCCGATATGAGCCTTTAACCATAAAAAGCATATATTTACATTGCTATCGTTTAGTTGGAACAATGCCTTTTTGATCAAGATTTGATGGATTTGAATTAAAATTTGGAATGTCCAAAGCTACAGATACAGATAAAGAATCTGAAGTAATTAGAGCTGCTTTAGTGATAGATTTTGATACAAATTGTAAGGCTTCTAATATCTCAAACACTTCAGTAGTGAAAAGTTATCAGGTAGTTTGAACAGATTTTTAATAATAAAAGAGGAGCTGTAATAGGCGTAGCCAGTAACTGGGTTTAACTTGGATGCATCGGTGTATATAATTGTATATAATTGTATATAATTGTATATAATTGTATATAATTGTATATAATTGTATATAATTGTATATAATTGTATATAATTGTATATAATTGTATATAATTGTATATAATTGTATATAATTGTATATAATTGTATATAATTGTATATAATTGTATATAATTGTATATAATTGTATATAATTGTATATAATTGTATATAAATGTATATAATTGTATATAATTGTATATAATTGTATATAATTGTATATAATTGTATATAATTGTATATAATTGTATATAATTGTATATAATTGTATATAATTGTATATAATTGTATATAATTGTATATAATTGTATATAATTGTATATAATTGTATATAATTGTATATAATTGTATATAATTGTATATAATTGTATATAATTGTATATAATTGTATATAATTGTATATAATTGTATATAATTGTATATAATTGTATATAATTGTATATAATTGTATATAATTGTATATAATTGTATATAATTGTATATAATTGTATATAATTGTATATAATTGTATATAATTGTATATAATTGTATATAATTGTATATAATTGTATATAATTGTATATAATTGTATATAATTGTATATAATTGTATATAATTGTATATAATTGTATATAATTGTATATAATTGTATATAATTGTATATAATTGTATATAATTGTATATAATTGTATATAATTGTATATAATTGTATATAATTGTATATAATTGTATATAATTGTATATAATTGTATATAATTGTATATAATTGTATATAATTGTATATAATTGTATATAATTGTATATAATTGTATATAATTGTATATAATTGTATATAATTGTATATAATTGTATATAATTGTATATAATTGTATATAATTGTATATAATTGTATATAATTGTATATAATTGTATATAATTGTATATAATTGTATATGATTGTATATAATTGTATATAATTGTATATAATTGTATATAATTGTATATAATTGTATATAATTGTATATGATTGTATATAATTGTATATAATTGTATATAATTGTATATAATTGTATATAATTGTATATGATTGCATATGATTGCATATAATTGTATATAATTGTATATAATTGTATATAATTGTATATAATTGTATATAATTGTATATAATTGTATATAATTGTATATAATTGTATATAATTGTATATAATTGTATATAATTGTATATAATTGTATATAATTGTATATAATTGTATATAATTGTATATAATTGTATATAATTGTATATAATTGTATATAATTGTATATAATTGTATATAATTGTATATAATTGTATATAATTGTATATAATTGTATATAATTGTATATAATTGTATATAATTGTATATAATTGTATATAATTGTATATAATTGTATATAATTGTATATAATTGTATATAATTGTATATAATTGTATATAATTGTAAATAAATGTATATAATTGTATATAAAATTTAGTTTTTTACTTTACCCGCTTTTAAATTATCATGGTTACAGACACATATATAAACAGACAAATACTCATCATCACGAAAATGATCAAAACGGATTGAGGGACACCAAAAATGTAAATATTATTCGTAAACTTGAGGTCGAAAAAAATTGATTGATGATAGATACTTTTCTTACTGGATAAAGGAAAGTAAAAATTCAAAGATTGAAACATCCTGTATGTAATAAAATGCTGTTAATAGACAAATAACTTCAACTTACTCTCTACACTAAAATCGTGTAAACTTTCAATCACTGTCATAATTATTTTCAATAAATCATTATGACGAATTACTTCTACTAATGCAGTATTATTAATAGTTTTCTCGGGTAGGTATTGTATGATTTTTTTTTTTGAATGAGAGGGAAATGTGGGAATCCGTTACTATCAAATTGGTTCTTTGTTTTATAACAAAAATACTACAAAAGCGGATAAGAGCATATTGATTGACAAAATGTTTGACCTATTTTAACTGAAAATCGACAGATATAAATATGTCAGATATAGTTCGTTTAATTTTTATTTTTTACATCGAAATATCTTTTCAATCAAAAATGCAGAAAGTCAAAATATAAAACATGTTGGAATAAAATTTAAAATTTAAAATATCCGGTATCCGCAGTTAATGAAAATGGATATGTAAACCAATAATTATTGAAAAAGGAGACCAGCCTTCATTGACATCGTTAGTTTAAATACACGGCAAGTAACAAACATATGAGAATTCTTTCTAAACTTGTGTTATATGGCGTGTCCGTAAAATACGGAATACATTGTTCTTTTATTTCAATATTTTCTGGTTTCGGTTTGTAAACAACATTCTTCAGATGGCCCTAAATAAAATAATCCATGAGATTTAGATCTGGAGTCCTAGCTGACCATTCAGTGTGTTTAAAAATCCACCTGGGAGGCGCACCGACCTGTTGAAACCCTATATTTTTAACAAAATGTCCAGGATTAATTTTACTGGGAAATAAATATATTAAAGTAGATACAATATATTATTATCCTCTTAAAAATTGGAGATATTATTATGCTAGCCTAGTGGTCGGCAAATTGCGGCTCGCGAGCCGCATGCGGCTCTTTGGCCCCTTGAGTGTGGCTCGTCCACAAACTACAACATGTTGGGTTGCCACCTTTTTGTAAAGTGAATAAAGGACTATAATGCTGACGGGGTCCTGGTATACAAAAAGTCCTCATCCTACTGAACTTAAAAAAAGGTCCTCAGCTTATATATTTTTGTACAAACCATGTCCCTTCCAAAGATATGTGCTGTAAAAAAAATTACGTAAAAAAGAACAAAAATAACATTTTAAGCTTTAAAAACTCACAAGGACATTTTGCTTCAAAAAAGAACTGTCCTTCAAAAAAGGACAGGTGGCAACCTTAGCTCGCATATACAGTATTATTGAGTCTTTGTGATGACTGCTTTTCTTATTTCTACTTTATATTTAGTTGGTGTTTATGTTTCTATCTTTAGATGAGAGCTCTGAAGCGACTTATTGAGAGAATATTTCTAGATACATAAAATATCAACGGACATCGCACAATATAATATTATTCCTGAGTGCGTATCCACAGAGGAAAGACTAGAATTGTAGTCAAAATCTGCAGTCTTGCAGTTAGTAGGTAATTTCATTTCCCTCTGTTCGAAGCATTTTGCTTTCCCTTCAAGGTTTCATTTTGATTTACTTACCAAGTCTGTTGAAAATTTAACGTTGTCATTTGCTATTTCAAAGCCATATACTTTTTAAATATAATACAATTTAATTTATCAATAAACAATATTAAATAAATAAGTTTTATGTGGTAAAAAATTTGATGTTATTGGAAACTTTTATATTTTTTAATATAAAGCGAAACAAAAGTTTTTGTTTCTCCTGTAAATTTGTATAGAAAAACTATTTCTGAATCCAAGTTTGAATTTCCCGCCGTAAAGCATTTTTATTTTCCAGCTATTTACTAGTGGCGCCATTATAGACAGGTTGTGGTTATAATCACCCAAACAACTTTTACCGAACAAAAAAAATACATTGAGTTACACGTCTCGCTGGGTTGTCTCTGGTATGGGTATATAAAGAGGACAAACGAACGGAGATAGACGAAACAAGTTTACACGACGAGTGTGGGTGAGAGAGAGTTGGAAAGTGTCGCTCTGAAGGAACATACCTCAATCAAATAGAGGACATTTTAGCAAAAGCCAGTAATACGCTAATTAAGTAAATAACTATTTACTTACCTATATCAAATCAAATCAAATCAAATATATTATCGTACCTAGGCATATATGCCTGTCTTGTGTGATCCCTTCCATAAAAAAAATACAATAATAAATTGTTTTAAAAGTACAAAAAAAAAAAATTAAAAAGAAAAACGACTCAGTAATAGGAGTAATAGGAAACTAAAACAAGACTGGTCCAAAAAGTGAGATAGGGTTAAAACTTTCTCCTGTAGTATAGTTAAACAGAAGTTAACGCTAAAAAATTGTAAAAAATACTTGAAAAGACACCAGAAATAATGTACGTTATTTGCAGTTTTATTTAAAATATTTCAAACATATCTGGGGAAGTTTGGATCAATTCCTTGATTTCAGTTTTAAATTTAGTTAATTTAGTTATTTGTTTCGTTGATAAAGGGAGAAGATTAAACAATTTGGGGCTAAAATAAAAGAAAGATCTTTGTGTTACCGTTTTTTGAAATAGGTCTACATTCAAATTTAAATTTGTAGTTGCTCTGGTTTTTGATGAAACCTTGTGTAGTTTATCCTGATCTCTGTATACCCTTTGAAGACACTGATATGTATATAATTGTCTTAAAGTAAAAATGTTTAATTCTTGATATAGTAGTTGAGTTGAATATAGTCTATCCTTTTTAAATAATATTTTAATTAATGTATTTAATGTAGTTTGCAGATTTTGTAACGTACTTTTTAAAGTACCACCCCATATCGTTATACAATACCTTAAAATTGATTCGGAAAACGAATTATAAATCATAAATAAATTGTTTTTTGAAAGAATATCTCTAATGTTATAAAATTTGGTAAACAAGACTCTTAAGCGTTTTGTAACGTAAGTAACGTGTTCGTTCCATCTTATGTGCTGGTCAATCATTACACCTAAATATTTTATTGCTACTGTTTTTTCCAAGATGGGACAGTTACATCTAGTATGATTGCATTTAGAGTCATGTAGTTTAACGTCTATTTTAGGTTGATCAGCTGTAGTAGGAGAAAAAGTAATATATTTTGTTTTTTCAATGTTTAGAGTCAATAAACTATAATCTAGATAAATTTTTATTTTTTTTAAGCAAGCTTCTGTATTTAATTTTACTTCATCCCAAGATGTCCCAGTCACTACAAGGGCAGTGTCATCAGCATAACATACAAGTTTTCCTTTAAAATGATTTATGTTGGAGATGCTATTTATGTAAATTAAAAATAGAATTGGACCCAATACTGTCCCCTGTGGTATTCCTATTTGTACTATTGAAGCGGCACTTAATGTATCCCCTATTTTTACTTTTTGGGTTCTATCTGTTAAATAATTTCTAAGTAAATCAAGTCCTGTACCTCTAATGCCATAGTTACTCATTCTAATTAAGAGATCAGAGTGAGGAACCGTATCGAAGGCTTTTGCCAGATCAAGGAAAACCGCTAGGCATTTACTTGATCTATCCAAGGCGCGGATTATCGGTTCAAGTAGATTTAATGTCGCATCTTCAGTACTGGATTTTTTTATGAATCCAAATTGTATTTTCGATAGAACTTTATTTTTGTCTAGGAATTTAATTAATCTGTTTTTGACAGCTTGTTCAAATATTTTTGCAAAATTATTTATAACAGATATTGGTCTATAGTTATTCATTTTGCTATGATCCCCAGATTTAAAAATAGGAGTAACTATAGTATGTTTCCATTGACAAGGTATTATTCCACTAGACAAAGAAAGGTTTATAATATGCGATAAGGGTGTCACTACATCTTTATGAATATATTTAATGAGTTTAGTTTCTATTTTATCAGGTCCTGCAGAACAGTTATTTTTTAAGTTAGAAATTATTATTATTATTTCTGGAACCGTTACTGGTTCTAAAAAAAGAGAATTTTTTATGGCATTATCAGCTAAGAAATTGTTTGGTAATTTAATTTTTTTGATTTTATTTGCCATATTTTTACCCAAGTTTATAAAGAAATTATTAAATAAGGTTGCCTTTTCTTTATTATTTTTAACTAAACTTCCATTTTCATTTATATCAGTATTTGAAATGTTTGAACTGTTTTTGTATCCATTTATATCATTGATTATTTTCCACGTTTTTTTACAGTCACCGTGAGCATCATTTAATTTAGTTTGATAGTAATCATTTTTAGTTTTTTTTATTAATGTATTTAATTTATTTCTATATTCTTTATATTTGGTTTCCCGTTCCATAGAAAAGTTTTTTAACAATCTCTTTTTTATTTGATCCCTCTTATAGATAGAAGTAATTAAGGCTGAAGTTATCCATGGTTTAAGTTTCCTATTTTTTTTGTTTACAGTGAATGTTTCAGTCTATATAAAGATTCAGTTTACTGATAAATTTGTCATATGAAATTTGGGTATCTCTTGCCATAATTACATCTTCCCAATTTTCTTTCTCTACTAGCTTTTTGAGTTTAATGAAATTAATTTTTTTGTATGTTCTTTTATTTTCAATAGCAGATATGTCGAGTTTTTTGTTTAAATATATATGGACAAAGGGTGTATAATGATCAGTAAAAGCAGTATGAAAAACTATAGGTTCCGTTTCAATTTGATTACTTATTTTTTTGCTTATTCTTAGAAATATGTGATCAATACATGTGTTAGTAGTTCGAGTGACACGAGTTGCTTTATTTATATATGAAATAAATCCGTAAAAATGTAATAAATTTAAATATCTAGTTGTTTCATTTACTTCAGGTTCTAGAATATTAATATTGAAATCTCCTAAGTAGATTTCTAGACTTTGTTTTTGAAGGTTTTCAAAGTAATGTTCTAAATCATCTATGAATTTTTGAATACTTGTTGAAGGAGACCTATAATAAGCTGTAACCCCTACATCTATGTACTCGTTTAGATGTTTTTTATTAAAGGTTATACGTAAAAATTTAGTGAAATTTACTTCCATTATTTTTACAGATGTGGTTATATTATTTTTTATGTACACTATTGTGTCATCACTTTTATTTATAGATGTATTATTGCAATAAGGCGTATAATTTGGAATATGAAAGTTAC